AATTTCTGAGATTTCCAGAGCCCGTGACAGCTTACCGCCCACGGCAGGGCACTGCTGAAAACCTCCGCCGCTGCCCTCTCCCCACATGGCAATGCGCGGCAGCCTCCCGCAGGGTCAAGTGTGCAGGGCCAACCACCCCGGCTCTTCCCTCCCGCCTGGCCCTCACTGCCAACAGCTTCTCTCCAGAAATAACCAAATGTATGAGATCGCCCACAGGGAGAAGACGGAGGCATGACACCTACGAGTTTGCCTATTTATAGAAAGTGTTAACACTCCTCAGGAAAAGACACCAGAAATCTCCTTGGAAACGCCCAAACCCGTACTCCCTTTGGTATTCTAGCCTGCTAATACCGACGACTGAGTCACCGCCGTTACAGCAGGGCCCGAGAGGTACTTACGGCTTCCCCCCAGGGATCCCTGCCAGGTTTGGAGGGATGGCAGGCACTCTCATGTGAGGCGGAGGGTCAAACCCTACCTGGAAACAAAAGCAAATCATTGTAGGCTCAGTCTATGCAAGGCAGGCACTTTGAGAACACTGATAAAGTCTTTTCATTAGAAACGCATACATCCCCAAAGCAATATATAAAATGAGAACAATAACAGGGCCTCATAGTAAGGAAAAAAAAAAAGGCCAGGCATGGTGGCTCATGTCTGTGATCCTAGCACTTTGGAATGCCGAGGCAGGAGGATCACTTGAAGCCAGAAGTTTGAGACCAGCTGGACAACATAGCGAGACCCCATGGCTACAAAAATTTAAAAATTCGCCAGGCGTGGTGGCATGCACCTGTAGTCCCAGTTGCTCAGGAGGCTGAGGCACGAGGATCGCTTGAGCCCAGGAGTTCTAAGCTACAGTGAGCTATGATGGTGCCACTACACTCTAGCCTGGGTGACAGAGTGAGACCCTGTCTCCAAAAATTATAACAATAATTCCAGAAATAATATAACCACCTCTAACACCACAAGACAACTTCTTTTTAGGGAGGTGGAGAGGAGGTATGATTATTTGTGCACTGAGAATCAGCTTCCCATGGAAAATACATCCCACAGACTTAAAACGGTCTCTCGTGCCCAAGCAAATACAGAAAGCATTCTGTTGTGTAAGGATTTCTCAACCTCGGTGCTATTGACATTTTGGACCCGATACTTCTTTTCTTTGTTGGGGCCTGTCCTAGGTACTGTAGGATGTGGAGTAGCATCTCTGGCCTCTACCATTTATGTGTCAATAGGATTTCTCTCCCCAGTTGTGATAATTGAAAGTATTCCCAGGTATTACCAAATGTCGCTAAGGGATTACTCCCGGGTGCACACGACTGGTCTGAGTTAATGCTTAAGGAGTCATACACGGCCTCCCTGTGTTGCACACATCAAGGAGAGTGGCCGGTCACTCAGCTGCCCACCTCACTCACTCTCTTGCCCTCTACTGCACAGCCTTTGCTGTGAGTGCAACGTAAGGAAAACTCAGCGAACCTTAATATCGCCCCAAACTACTGGAGGTAATGCCATGTGAAGAGGAGACAAGAGAGAAAGGTACTTGATATATTTCAGAAAACAAAAATGACTCTGGGACTTTAATTCGCCATGGGTGATCACCTACAGTTTTCCTGATGCAATCAATGATCACACAGTCAGTTTTACCCTTCGCATGTGGTTTGTATCTATCTTCTTGGTCATTTGCACAGTGGCAGAAGGCAGGGTGAGATGGTAGGAGGGCCCGCCCCTGTGGTTTCAGTGTGTCTTCCATTCTGCCCACTGTGCAGAGATGGCTTCTTACACAAAAGCCACGCTTTTGGACTTAACGTATAACATAGGCATGGAAAGAGAAAGCTGGGGCTTCTCAAATGCTTTTTCCTAAGGTTTAAAGAGGAGGGGGAAAAAAAAGGCTCAAAAAAAACCCCAAAAAACCCGAATGAAAAGGCCTCTGTGAGCCACTTGAGTCATTTCATCGCCTTCAAATAAAAAAATCTCCTTTGGTGGGAGAAAACCAGATGTCGCCTGAACCACGGAAGGAGCTTCTCAACACTGCCTTCTTCATCCACAAAAACGGTAAAACAAAAGCGCCCGGCCCACACTTAGCGAAGCAGCATGCTGAGGAAGGCTGACAGGAGCAAGGCGGTGTGGGCCGGACACTGGGCATCTTTGTTTCTGAGGCGTGTGGGGCGGGCTGGCTGCCGCTGCCCACGCAGCACCGAGGGGCCTGCCGCCCGCCCTCCCCGGCCCGACGGTGCCCACTGATCACGCCGCTCCCCTGACCCCACCACAGCCCACCCGGCCGCGGCCTACCATCGGGGAGCGCCCGTAGGCCACCACCGCGGCCGCGGCGGCCGCCGCGCTCATCTGGGGAGACATGTTGTGTAAACTGGCGTAGGCGGCGCCGGGGCTGGTCAGCTCGCCGTTCATGCCCGCGTGGGGGACCATCCCGAAGGGAGCAGGGTACGGGCCGGGCACTGCCAGGGGCGTCCTCAAACCAGCTGCTGAAAGGAAACACAAGACGCACGTCACTCAACCGACCCACTCCAGTCACACCTGAGCAGCAATTCTCGTGTCATTTGTGAGTGTCGTTCATTACAGGGAGGAAGAGGCTTATGGAGAAGGGGTAAAAAAAAAAAAAATCACCTCCAATTTATACACCGGATC